AAAAAAAAAAAAAAAATTGTTATATTCACTTTTGAATTTTCTCTTCTGTTCCCTTTATCGTCTTTCTAAACAAAACAAAAGAATCGTATTGTCTTAATCACCAAGACACCAAGAGCTAGGCCAGAGAGAGACAGAGAGAGAGAGAAAGACAGAGAGGCTAGATGTGGTGGCTCACACCTGTAATCCCAGCACTTTGGGAGGCTGAGGTGGGTGGATCATTTGAGGTAAGGAGCTCAAGACCAGACTGGCCAACATGGTGAAATCCCATCTCTACTACAAAAATTAGCCAGGGAGTAGTGGCCTGTGCCTATAGTTCCAGCTACTTGGGAGGCTGAAACCCGAGAATTACTTGAGCCTGGGAGGCGGAGGTTGCGGTGAGCCGAGATCATGCCACCCCACTCCAGTCTGGGTGACAGAGTGAGACCCTCTCTCAAAAAAAAAAAAAAAGAGAGAAAGGGAAAGATTTTATATGGTGAGATTTTCATATATCTGAGATGAGATTTGATATAGCTATGCAATTTTACACATTGCATACATGTGATCATACACATCTTTTATTTATTTTTTGAGACGGAGTTTTGTTCTTGTTGCCCAGGCTGGAGTGTAATGGCGTGATCTTGGCTCACTGCAACTTCTATCTCCCAGGTTCAAGCGATTCTCCTGCCTCAGCCTCCCAAGTAGCTGGGATTACATGGATGCGCCACCACGCCTGGCTAATTTTGTATTTTTAGTAGAGTGGGTTTCTCCGTGTTGGCCAGGCTGGTCTTGAACTCCCAACATCAGGTGATCTGCCCGCCTTGGCCTCCCAAAGTGCTGGGATTACTGGCATGGGCCACCATGCCTGGCCACATATGGCCATATACATCTTTCAATGTGTTGTTTGCATTATGTTAAAGTGTTAACATTTTTTACATTAGTTCTTCCCACCATAGAATCCATAGTATCACTTTAATGTGTTATCTATGTTTTTTATGTATTCATTATACATAGACTTACATATACTGATACCTTTAATCACATATACATATACAATGTTTCTTTTTGTCATTATTTTAAAATAGTCTCTTACAAAATAAAAATAGGGGATCATATTAAATATTTCTGCATCTCACTTTTCTCATACACCTGGAAACTGCTGCAGATCTAATTCAGCATTTTATTAATTTGTAAATTTTTTAAATTTCTTTATTTTTGAGATAGGGTCTCACTCTGTTACCCACACTGGAGTGCATTGACAAGATCAGGGCTCACCGCAGCCTTGACCTCCCGGGTTCAAGCAATCCTTCCACCTCAGCCTTCTGAGTAGCTGGGGCTGCAGGTGTGCACCACCACACCTGGCTAATTTTAAATTTTTTTGTAGAGACAGGTTCTCAGTTTGTTACCCAGGCTGGTCTGGAACTCCTGGGCTCAAAAGATCCTCCTTCCTAGGCTTCCCAAAGTGCTGGGATTACAGATGTGAGCCACTGGGCCTTAGGAATCCGATGGGAATTCCAGGCCAGGTGGGAGGAAAGGCTAGTGCATTGGCACCAAGTAACGTTTCTGGCTGGGTCTTGCCCATTCCCTTGTTGGGTGGCCAGGAGCCCTCAGCCGCCAGAGGCAGGAATGCTGACTGTGTTATTGTGAAATCATTTGCATATTGTGAAGTGCTTTGCATAAGATGGGAGTGCTTTGCATACAGGGAGAGGGGCATTTTAGAAGTCCTAGGGCAGGATCCCTGAGTAGCTTTCTTTGCCAAGAAACTAACCCAGGGATTCCATTTTGGAACTCAGGGAGGGAACAGAATGTCCTGGCAGTTGTATGGGCCCGGTGGGATGAGATAGACGGAAAGCTTCAGAAGACAAGCTGGGCCACCAGGGAGAAGTTGGCAGTCTAAGGAAGGTCAACACTGCAACATGAGGTGGGACAGGCACCAGAGGCAGCCCTGAGAGCTGAGTGTGCTCTCAGAGCCCCAGCAGAGGGGAAAGTGACAGAGCAAATGGTTGGAACTGCCACGGGAGGCTGATGAGGGTCAGAGACTTAGAGACCTGTACTCGGTCGCTATCTCTGCCCAATAGAGTACTCACATGCCCCTTCCTGAATCTTCTCCTACAGTGGCTGATTTCCAGAGAACACAAAGTGGAAACGCCAAGCCAGACTCCCACTGCTGTTCAGGACCTAGAAGTGAGAAGTGGTATCACATACCCTGGCTTCAGGACACCCAGGCTTGAATCCTGACTCTGCCATCTGTGCCACTGTATGACCCTGGGCTAACAGTACCCACCACAACGGGATAAGATTCAGTGAGATAATGCGAGTGTATAGCACATAGTAGGTGCTCAGTAAATTGCGGTTATAAGAACTGCCATCCAGTGTTTGCTGCCCTAGTCTAACCAAAGAGGTCAGGTCTAGCTTCCTCCAGGTGAGGGGAGCACAGAGTCCTCGCCTCCCAGGTTTGGAGTTCCCATCAGCAGGGTCCAGCCACCATGCATTGGACCCCAAAGGGTTACAAGCCCTGGAGACAGTGGCCTGAGGTTCCCAGCGAAAAACCAAAGCATAAAAATAATTCGATGAGTAAGAATAAAATTCCCTCTTCTGAGGTTCCCGGGGCCAGGCCCCTCCCTGCGGCAGGCACTTCCCCTTTCCCTTGCTCATGGAGCAGCCAGGCCGGGCTGACTCAGAGCAGGAGCGTACAGCCGTCCTCCCAGCCCGACCTGGGCGGAGTGGTCTGGCGGCAGGGTGCGCCCCCG